TGTGTGAAAGAGTTGTGTGTGTGTGTGACGAAGTTGTGTGTGAAAGAGTTGTGTGTGTGAAAGAGTTGTGTGTGACAATGTTGTGTGTGAAATAGCTGTGTGTGGCAAAGTTGTGTGTGTGAAAGAGTTGCGTGTGAAAGCGAGGAGGAGGAGAAGGAGCGGACGGCGCCGGACAGGATACAGAACAAAAAAACAAGAACCCCACACAAAGATGTGGGGAGAAATGTTGGTATTCCCCGCGCAAGGGATACCCAGGTTTCACCCGTAGCTATAACCACAATTCCTCGCGAAACTGCCAACAAAGGTGGTAAGCCACCCCCACCTTTGCATGTTCGTGCTCGCCAATGCAACGATTGCGACCCCAGACCCACAAATCACCGGCCAACTCGCCGTTGTCATTGTAAATACCCTTCTCATAGCTGAGGCCGCCTTTCACTTTGCAGATCCGAAACCGGCTAGGGCCTAGCCTCTGGTAATCTAATATAGACATGCAAAATGGAAAGGGCAAATAGGCACATCATGTACAAATGTCTAATCTTCCATGGCTATGTTAAATTGCCGGGAGTAACTGCTTCAGAGACAAGTGGAAATTTCCGCCAGGTTCTCAATTCCATCCCACAGCCAAAGTACAAGTGTGGTAGGCTCCGCAATGCACAGTGCGGATCTTGGTGATCAGGCTGCTGATGATCTTGGGTTCGTATTGGTTCTCCTGAACAGATAAAGAAGCAACATCCACCATCTACTGCTGCGGGAAAACCACGGTGTTTGTCCGGATCAAGGTACCACACATAGATGGAAACAGCTTCAGGCGGCGCATGTAGCAGTCAGGATGGATACATTTCCTTCTTTCCATTTCTTTTTCGATAGTTCGATACTACCAGACCCCCACCGCACCCAGCGTCCATGTCGTTGTGGCCCAGTCGTCCAAACCAGCCGCCACCGAAGGTCCAAACTCCTGAGCGATTTCAGCGGTCTGACATTGCCCAATTGCCATGGCTTTCACAGCTATGCTCGTAATTCTATCTCCCAAAAATGTTAAAGACCAATAAAATTCAGTCGCGTACGGCAGGACGCCAGCCAACCACAGACCCTTCATTCCATTGAAACGGAAAAATGGGTCAGGTCAAGTCAACCTCCCAATCTTGGGCCCCCAAATGATGGTTCAGGACTAAACCTAACGTCAAAAAACATGGTTAATGAATGTTAATGAACGAGAATTAGGTACGGGCACATGCATTTCTCTGGGGACTCTATGTCCAAAAGTATAAGGATGCATCCATTGAAGCTCTACACTGGTCCACGACCTTGCGGCGAGCTTTGGTCACCTTGCATTTTTCTCCCCAGGTTTCTCTTCCAGCAAAGTTATAGTACTTCGACATCGTCTCCATTTACAAGTATCTGTATCTTTCACTATCAACTCCAGTTTCGAGACTATGGGGGAAGTCTTGCACATCGTCTCCAACTTCGCTTTCTCCTATATGCAGCTGGAATGTACATGTTTCTTTTGCTGGACTTAGGTGCCTGTATAGTTTTCCCAAGCGGCACTACTCCTGTTCATGGCAACTAAAGCTAGCAGGGGCCGCCACAGGCGTGCCGGGAGACCCCGGTCACACGAACCCTGCTGTGCGTCACGGGGCCTGGCCTGACTCCTTTTTAGTGGCTTTTCTCCTTTGATTTGTCATTTGCTCTTTTTTATTTCGGTGGGTTGGTTCCACCTAGCCAATTCCATCGGGCCCCGTGTACTAGGTGTAAATTAGCAGCATTTACTGGAGCCCACGCTTTCTCCGTTTCGATGCCATTGACTTTAATGAACTTGAGGTATTGGATCTCATTTTTGAGCACTTCCATTTTGACTCCAATTCATTTTCATGATTCACAAGTCTCAGACCCGAACTCTGCGTCTAATCTGTTAATGTTTCATCCTACAATGCTCAGGTGCTCCTTCTAGCTACAGGTCTCCTCGCACATACACAGAGTCCAGGACTTTGAGTCCCCTTTTCCCAAGATACATCCTATAAATCTACATCCCACAGTGTCACTCCCTCAGAGTCAAAGACTCAAGGCACTTCAAGTCCCCTGCCCAAGAGGCACTGCTGCATTCTCCCAACTGAAACTGTCCTCTCTCCTGTGTCTTTTTTGAAGTCTTGCCTTCATGTCGCTTTCTTTTTTTGCAATTTGTTTTTCAATGCGGTTGACGGAATGCTGCTGCAGATGTGTAGTTCAACATGAACTGCATGGCTGAATAAAATGAAGGAGAATTATCCTAATTTCCAGCCCTACTGTTGGTTAATCCATGCCAAGACACTTCCTGAAATTCGATCGTCATCGGAGTCCTGGTCCCTCACGCAAATCACTGCCGTGTGGTACTGGCCACAACTTACGGCCATAGGAACCTGCCACTCGGCTGGTGCTGGGAAGGAAATGCTGAAAAAATGCCTGGGTTTGAGGAAACGACGGAAAAACCATGGGGGTAAAAACCTGCAAATGCATTGATCTCGTGGCAATTCAGGTGACGACTCTTCCCATCATCCAATTCTGGGCCAAAAGAGAAATGGAAAAAGAACACCTTTGTCTAGAGGATCTAGCTGAAACCCACCAAATAGCTACAAGGATCCTCAAACTCCGAACTTTTTTTTCATTGAATCTCATAATCCCCTTTCATGATTTGTGAACATCTTGGTTCAACCCCCACCTTGTAGGGCTCAGTGCTCTTGGCAAAGGCCCGGATGGCCACCGGAATGCTGTCGGAACTGGTGGCTTCGCCCAAACCCAGCTTTCCCAGCTCCGAAGAGCCCCACATCCACCTCGGTCATGAAGGGCTGATGGGTGATGGGTGAAAACTCTAAAATGGAAAAAAAAGAATTGCCCTAAAATGGGGATATCTATACTCCTTTTTTGGGAAAGGGTTGGGAGATATGATTTGCCCCATTTTGTTTGGTATAGTAGATTTCACTTAATATCATTTTGGTGTGGCTCAAAATGTAGGGTGGGCGCGTGGGCCCCCAATTTATGGCCATTGAGCTAAAATTGTGGTTAACCGCTGGATTTGGGAGTAACCCCGGGTTCCCAATTTTCAGACAAACCCATATGGGATACAGTTGGGGCGATTTTGATGAAGTGGACCTGCACGCCCAATTATTCCGTTCATGGGGATACGACGAAGCAAAACCCGTTATATACTGGTTTATACACTTGGTACACATCATCCGGGTTGGTCGCTTTTCGCCACCCGAACCCCAATAAAATTGAATAGGCAATTGCGGATCATCCTCCGAAATTTGAGAAAGAAACGAATGTGTGTGTGTATTATACATATATATATATGCGTATACACATATAAATATACCTATATTTGTTGTCAAAACCCTCCTTACAAAATGGCTAGGAGATTTTGTAAAGCCAGGCTACAATTCATTCTCATCTTCTCCGCGACAGATTGCTCCACTGTGATCCTGAGGCTGATCCGCTGCAGTGTGGAGATACTTGGTCAACCACGTACATCCCAGTTCCACATATATACTATACAAGCATGGAATATCCGCAGTTATATCTCTATGTGTATATATATATATGTACAGTTTAGTGGTATAGTATATAAGTGGGTGGAAGAGGGTTTGCAAGCCATTCACAAACCCAACAATCTGTGCTGCAACTTTCAACGACATGCTCTCCGTCCTCGCCAGCGGCGACAGAAACCACATTGTGAATCTCCACCACTTTGGGCGTGGCAGTGTCTTCATTTCTTCCCACGCCCAGCTGCCCCTGGTTCAAATTACAGCCAAGTTGGGGGCCGTGAATTGCAATGTTGGATGTTTAAGGGTCGAGTCATTGACCTATGCCCAGTACGCCCAGGCCTTGTCACCTCTGCCCCATGCATAAGCATTGCCATCGTAGGTCACGGCAATGCAATGCTCACGGCCGCAGGCCATGGATTTCACTAAACGCCCAGAAGGCATTCGGACCACCTGGGAATCTCCCGGGGTACCCCAGGCCATCCCATTGTTGATCATCTTTTTCCCCATTAAAGGGTTTTTTTGCGTGGGAATACGTGCAATTATACCGTATACCCCACTTTCAGACTCACCCGAATCATCCCAAGTTTACATACCTGTATATATAAATATGTATATATATATATATACTCATATATCATGTCCCATTAATATCGCCATGAAATGCGTACATTTTCCCCATTCTCTTGGGTGAAGCGCTGGGCGTCCAAGTGTGCACAGCAACCCAAAAAGATCTAAAAGTTGGACACGTCAAAATCCTGGGTTCATACTTTCAATCTTCTTGGGGCGGTTGCTGTATATGTATGTTATTACATTACTGTATTTTAAGTGAGGGATAAAGTGAGTAACTCATACTGGGAAGTAGGAAGCTATGCATGCATGTAGGTATGTAGGTATGTAGGTATGTAGGTATGTAGGCATGTAGGCATGTAGGCATGTAGGCATGTAGGCATGTAGGTATGTAGGTATGTAGGTATGTAGGTAGGTAGGTAGGTAGGCATGTAGGTGTGTAGGTGTGTAGGTATGTAGGTA